AAGAAAAGACCTTTTTTTTTAATTTTTTTTTTTTTTTTTAAGTGGAAAAACCCCCAAGTTCCTGAAAAGGAGCGGAAGGGCCAAGTGCAAATGTTGCCACCGAGGTCTTGGGTGGCTGGAAAGCAAATTCACTCTTTTTTTGGCTGGGACAGATGGAAGGTGGGACTGGAAGAGAAGGGTGATGGTTTGGACGGCTGGAAGAGAAGATCCTGGAAGCTTTTTGTCCCTGCACTGCTCCAGGGCTGGTGGGAGGATTCCACCCGGGAATTCCTGGCCAGGTTTCCACCTTGGAGGAAAGGTGGGATCGCAGGGAATGCCACCTCCTGCAGTCGTGTCCAACGTCACAAGCTGCAGGATTTGAAGGGGTGGGGGGAGAATCTCTCCCCTTTTTTTTTTTCCCCCCTCAGAGTTGAGGAGAATTCCGTGTCTCGCCCTCCCCACGAGCTCCTGCTGGGATCCCACCTGGAATCTCCCTTCCTGGGAGGAGTGGCAGGGTTTTTTAACGAGCTGAGCTGATCCCTGCCTGGCTCCAGTGATGTGTTTGATGGTGTTTCCCCCCTCCCACCCCCAGGACCATCGTGCAGTCGGATGAGAAGCTGGTGATCAGCGCGTCCTGGGCCAAGGACGACGACATCAGCAGGCTCCTGAAATCCCTGCCCAACTGGAGCAGCATGGCCCAGCCCAAGCAGCTCAGGCCCAAGAGGGAGGAGGAGGAAGATTTCGTAAGGTAAAATAATCTCTGGAAGATGGGAGAGGGGTTTGGAGGAGGGCAAAGCCCTCCCCGCTGTAAATCGAGGATCAGCGGCGTTCCCGTCGCTGTCGCGTCCCCAGGCGGGAAAAAAACCATGGAATCACTTAAAAAATGGGAAAGAGTTTAAGATCATCTACTCCAAATGTTTCCCCAGTGCTCACCCACCTCCCCAAGTGTGTTAAATCCCTCCAGGAATGGGGATTCCACCACTGTGCCAGGGCTGGACAGACCTTTTTTTTTGGGGAAGAAATTTTCCCAAATATCCAACCTAAACTTCTCCTGGGGGTAATTTCTGCTCACTCTTGTTGTTCAGGCGAGGCTGTTTGAGGGATTGGGGCTGGGATTGGGGCTGGGATTGGGGAAGGAGAGAAAGGAGTGGTTTTAATTCCCAGGGATCCCTGTCCTGGTCGATGGATCTGCTCTGATCACCCCAGAGATGAAGGGAGCAGCAAATGAAACCTCAGGGTGGACTGGGCAGGAATTCCCAAAAATTGGCCTTGTCCAAGGTGTCTTCCCTTGGAACCACGACCTGGTGGTGTTTTCCTTCCACCCCAACCCCAACCCCAACTGAAAAATCCAATTAAATGAAAAAACGAATTCCATCACATGGAAAATGAAATTCCATCACGTGGAAAAATGGAATTCCATCACATGGAAAAATGGAATTCCATCACATGGAAAATGAAATTCCATCACATGGAAAAATGAAATGAGTCAGATGAAAAATTCTGGTCCCTGAAGGAAAAAGCTCCTCTGGGATTCCAGGGAGTCAAAAATCTTCCTGTGATTTCTGAGCCATCAGCACGGAATGCCAGGATGCGGTGGGATCCTGGCTGAGTGCAGGGGAAATCAGAGGGGCAAGCTCAGCCTGATGCCACCAGAACCAACCTTTTGATCCTAAAATCCATTTTACTCCAATATTTTCGGTTTCCCATCAAAGCATTGAGTGACATTTTATCATTTACAGGGAAAAGCTCCTGTTCTGTGCCTTTTCCAGCCTGGACAGTGGGACAGAGATCTTTTTTTTTCAGGATCTGTTTGCAGGGAGTTCCTCTGGGTGCCCTGGGAATGCTCCTGTGGGATTAATTGGGATGGGAATAATTAATCTGGGCCAGTTTTAACCACTTACTGTGACAGGACTGTCCTGGAAAGGAAGGTTCAGTCCTGATGGAACATGGGAATATATTTATTTTGGACACCAAGCAGTTATATGATATATAAATATAAATATACAATGTATTTATTTTGGAACTGCTCAGCAATATCCCTTTGGGATTATTGGTAAATTAAACACGCCCTGAAAAGTTCCCCCCAGAAGAGACATCAAGTGCACACTTTTGCTTTCCCTCCCCAGGTTTCCTGGAACTCCTTTATTTAATTAAAAAAAAATAAAAAAAAAAAATAAAAGGAGAATCCAAAAAAGTGATGTCTTGGCAAAGAAAAGCAAAAATTCTCCTGAATTTCTGCTGCCAGTGCTTGGTTTTGTTGTGTTAACCTGGCACTGTCTCCTGTGGGAGATGTCAGAAGGCAGGGATGGATCCTTCCCAAAATCACCCCAAAAATATCCCCCAAATACACCAAAACTACCTCAAAATCACCCAAAAAATACCCCCCAGAGTCACCTCAAAAATATCCCCCAAATACACCAAAAGTACCCCAAAGTCACCCAAAAAATACCCCCAAATCACCTCAGAAGTACCTGAAAAACACTCCCAAAATACACCGGAAATACCTCAAGACTACTCCCAAAATAACCCCTAAAATACCCAGA